TAGAAAATCAATATCTTTTTGAGTAAAAGTCTTTAAGTATAAGGTTTTAAAAAATATTTTTTTGGAAGTATTTTTGAATATTCTTGAATATTATTGTTTCAATAGAAATTAAATAATATAACTAACTACAGATAATAAAAAATAATTACAATAGCAATTATAAAGAACTTAAAGTTTTTATTTACTATGATAATTTTTTTAATAATAATTAAAATAAATAATAGTTTTTTTTTTTTTTTTAATATTTTTTTTTAATATATATTTGTATTGTTTTTTTTTTCTTAAAATTTTTTAATATTTTCTTTTTGCAAAAAAAAATAAATACAATTTGAAATTTATAATTATGACTATATATGTATTTATATTATCATAAAAGAAAATTTAATTGATAATACAATTTTGAATTAAATACAAATTTTAATTATTTATTATATGTTACTTAGTAATTTTATTATAATATAGTTTTTGAAAAATGGTTGAATTCAATTTCATCACATATATAATTATGACTATAAAGATGATTTGTAGGTATTTATCCTATTAAAAAGTTTTGAATCTTAATTTTATTTATAAGAGAAACAATATATTATCTTATAAATTGTATTTAGAGGCTTTGATTGTTAACAAGTAAATTAAATTAAGAAGATTATTTTTTATTTATATTTTTATGCTTATAATGGTTTTATTATTTAATAAATAAAATAATATCAATTTTATTGCAAGTATATAAAAAAAAATAATTAATTAATTAATTAATATTTCAAATTTTTTATTTTAAATTAATTTACAAACCATATAACTTTTGTTTTAATTAATTATTTGTAAAATTTAATTGATTATTAATCAATATAATTTGTATTTAAAAAATATTAATATTTTTTTAAATTTGATTATTTAAAAAATTGAATTTTTTAAACATTAGTTTAAATAGATTATTAATTAATAATTAATTGCTTTTTAAATTTATTAAAAATATATTAGAGATAGTTAATTTGTTACATTAAAAATTCTTATGCAAGTTTTTTATTCTTTATTTTAGAATATTTTTTTAAGATATATACTGTATACTGTATATGTTAATTAAAAACTATTAAAATATGATATTTAGATTTTTTTAATTAAAAATATATTTATTAAAAAAATTTTTTAAATCAATATTTAATTAATTAATATTATCATAAAAATATTTTTTCAATAATAATTTCAATAATAGTTTACTGAAATCATTAGATAATATATTATAAATTAATATTAAATATTTTTTATTATTTATCATAACAAATATTTGGTATAAACCAGGCTAATATAATTAAATTTGACTGTATTTGAAATATATCAAGTTTTATATAATAAAAACATTATAAATACCAAAATCATATAACGTATATTATGATAAAATAAAATCTTTGTATAATAATTATCTTTTATAAATTTGTTTTTATAAAAACATATATAACATACAGTATATAATTTGATTTTTTGATTTAACTTGCTGTATACTTTAAATCAGATTTATTTTTTATAGATGTATTTTGTATAGATATAATATAGAAAATTATTAATGTATGAATAAGCAATCTTTAAATTAATCAAGTTGTTTGATAATATCACTTTTTGTTACTGACGATTAATTAAATTGGTTGTGAAAATATTGTGAAATTCAAATCCACGATGGTAATGTAATCCTAGGGAAATTAATTAGTAATTTTTTTCAGAATTTTGTAATGTACAAAATTTTTTGAAATCATACTATAAAGTCTGTTATATCGAAATGCTTTTTTTGAGCCTAATTTCATTATACCAAGATTTTTATTATTCACCATGATATTGGGGACATCTATTATATCAGGGTTTACTGTGTATTTCATCATTTTTAAAAAAGAAATTGTGAATAATCAAAGAAGCAAATTATTGAATCGACATGCAACACCTGATTAATTCCGTTACGATTTTCAAAGTTAACAAATACCATTGGAATCCTTTTCATGTGGTTATTATCTTTATCTTTGAGTATTAAATTAAAAATTATTTTTCCTTTTTTTTTTGGTTAATTAATTTATTTTTATTAAACATAAATAAATGAATGAATATACAACGTATACAGTATAATTGATAGAGTCAATCCATTATAAAAGGATTTTCTTTAAAAGATGATGTTTTAAGAAACGGATTATTAACGATATTCTTCGATCGATCATGAAAAATCGAGTACAATTTACTGGATATAATAAACGGTCATTTGGGATGCACGGGTGTTATAAACACATTGATCAGTGAAGAAAATTTTAAATTAAGTTCTTTGTTCGATCCGAATTTAACCTCGTTAGTCGCAATGATAATCCCAATTATACAAATGAGTCAATATTTTCATATACGATCTTTCACTTGCCAAGAAATCCGTGACGCGTGATTCCTCGGTCTCGAAGATCACGCATGGGGATTGATAATAACGGGGAATCATGAGAGACTAGGCAATTCAATGTCAAATCGGTCACGGGTCATTTATCCTGCAACTTCGGTGTATTCCTCGACATCATCATATTTATGTACACATGTGCATTCATTTCCGGCATGATCCTATTTTACAGTATATTAGTCTTTGCGTCCGACGCTTGAGCAAAACCCGGTTCTCGCAAGAATCATCATCATGCGAGGTCCACACATTATTAGTCAGAGATCTTGGACATGAGTCATCGACGGCTATGACATTTTTCCGCGCGGCAATCGCGAGAAAAATTTACCAGTCATCTGATACCAACATGGCAAGTAGCATGTTTCGACATGATCGGGAAATAATCCATATAAAGACTCAGAAAGTATGGTCGGTCAAATGATGTCTTAGATGTTGCGCACATGACAAATAACATCGGGCATGCGCGTGTGACTCATACATGAACACATCAGCGGCCTCACCCTATCAGGAAGCAACATTTTATTAGGACAAAATGTCACCCTTTGTTTCTCTGTTCTTTCTTTCTTTTTGAATGAAAGGATCGACAATAGAACGAAAGGACATTTCGGGGGTTTCTTCCGAACGCATAATACTAGATGAAACGAGGGACTCAAATAACATTTCATCTATTGCGATCTCCATGCGTACCTTCGCTTTGTTTATACCACCTCTTTCGCATGACCTTGACAAAACGCACACAATTTATGATCTCATGAATTCCGAGATACTTATTTGGTCTCGTGATAAGTTATAGGTAGGTAGAAAAAAATTTTCTCGGTAAAGATACAAATTAAAATGCTTATTTTAGTAATCGGAGGATCATTTGTGAATGGCGTACAACAAAATGTGTCCTTGACACACCGTTACATTCCGCTTGACTCAGGGACGGCTCGGGAGTACGGTCGGTGTAACGAGGTTCGTGGCACCATATTGATAACTGTAATTTTTAGATGGATTTGGGATGCACAATTTATTGACAGTTTTTCTAAATGAATACTTTAATGTAAGGAGATTTCTAGGTAACAAAAATGAATTAAATTGATTATAACTTAAAATTTTACAGTGCCAGTGTAATATTATTCAATAGAATACGTTTCATAGAAGTGAGATGACCTAGTGTTTGTGTGTAGGGTGCATCAAAATGTGTGACACGAAATTTTAGGTATTCGCCGAGATGTGCGGCAAACTCACCATACAGTGTATACGTAATATACAGTATTTGTTCAGGCAATCTCTTAGTACTGATTTTTAGATTCAAAACATAATTAGATGCAATAATCTTCTACACACATTAATTTGGCGTCGCATCGCATACTTTTCTATTATCATTGACTTCGCCGCTCCTTCGCCCATCCCACTTTTTCTTTTTTGCCGCTGGGAAATTCGAAACCATAATTAGGAGGCCAATAAACGGAACACTCCTGAGCAACGGGATTTTTTTTTTTTTTTTTTTAATCGCATACACATACGTGTATGCCATTTCCTTACATATTTGCTAATAGTATCGGATATTTTCCGAGGATTTAAAGGACTCGTACATTTGGTAACAAACGTAAATCCCTTAATAGGAGATTGTATATGTGTCACCCACGTTCGGGAGGATATTTATGCGGAGATGTTGTGTCATCTGTTCGTATCACCTGACGCCGATGATCGAGAGGCGAACTTTCTTTGGATCAATGAACGGTGGATTTAAGGTTTCCCCATAGAAGTTTATTCGAGTATTACCGAAGTTAGTTTTCCATAAGGTTTACCACCATACTCCACTAGGAATCTGGGAAATTTTTTTTTTCTTTCTTTCTTTCTTTCTTTGCAAGACCACTCGGCACTCGACAACCTAACCTTTTCCAAGTGTCGAGAACTGAGGTGTTATCAAGGTACCCGGATTATCAGGATCAATACAATTAATGGCTCACACGGACAACAATGTTAGGCTATAAATGAAGGTGAATCTCCATTCGACACAAATGTATATAATAGGCCACAGGGGGTAACGGTTAATTGAGGTGCATTAAGAAATTTGGGGAAAAGGTTTTAGAATAATGAAGTGGAGATATTCCGGAAGGGGGTTTGCCAAAAAATGAAAAAGGATTCGTTGTGAGAGCAATAGGTGGATGAGATGATTCGAGCAACGCTAGCTTTAAACGGATTTAAGCAGATCATTCATGAATTTAAGTTTTATAGATATCTAATATTGGTAAAGGAAGTTGCTTTATTGTTTATTGATGCTAACTAATTATTTCGTTGAAATTAAAGTAAATTTTTAAGTAAGTCCGGAGCTTTAAAAAAGCTCAGCTTTGTAACTCCTTGGTGCAATCCCCTGTGAGACTGAATGTTTCAATGAGAAACAAAGGTGCGTGTAATTAGGTAGGCAAGTAGGCAGACAGACAGACAGACAGGTAGGCAGGCAGGCAGTAGGTGGTTGGTTAATTGAATGGTCAGTGGGCGAATTTGCAAACAACGAAAAAGATCGAAATTGCAAAATAATGCGCGAGAGTTGTACGAAATTGTAAAATAATGCGTAAACAGAACAAACATCAAATCCAAAAGTCACGAATACATGTAAAGCTTAAAGCCGTTTATGGTAATCCCGATGCATACGAAAGAACCTCTCAAAGAAGAGAGCGAACCATTCAATTATTAATGTCGTCAATAACAATAAGCCTGATCCTACTGATCCTACGGAAATGCACAAGAGCCAAACAAATCCTCCATGTAAATCTTCTTTAATCGACTGTGAATTGATCAAAGACTTGTCGCATTGTTTATTATTATTATTTTTACTTGTTAATGTGTATCGAACGAGACGAAACGCCTCCAGAGAAAAATTAAAGTCTAGGCTACATAATTAAACTGCCTGATTGAACATCAAAACATTCGCGAATCGATGCATCATAAAATTTGGCACAAATTATTGTAAAACGATTAGTAGGGTAATATTACGGCGCAATAGAATACGTGAGAATGCATTTGCTTGAGGTTTCATGTTGAACCTGGGTACCCAAACCATGATCGCATAAATCGCTTCCCGCGATCTTTGTGTAGGAAAGAGATGGTAAATAATGTTGCACACAATAATTTGACACTATAGGTTTCTTTCACAAATCAAGAAATTATTATGTCACGAGGAGCTAATGTTTGACTACCAATGACAGCATCCAAGGGCGTATCGCTCGAACACTCGGAAACCGCGACCACACAGACAGATTGCTCTGGAACCACTTACTAAATTGCGATTCGCTGACATACTGTAAACGGATAAATAAAATTTGGCGCATTTATGCAGGAATAAAATTTATAATGTTCCAAGATTTGTGTGACGATCAAAGCCCGAGACGTTTGGTTTGAGTCAAACTCTTTCGTCAGGCGTTTTTTCTTTTTCTGTACCTTTCTACTGTATTTTTGAAATTTACGTGAATGTAGGCTTCGCGCATCTTATATCATCATTCTCTCAGAGTATTGCCTTATCCTTTCGCTTTCGATTCCAAATTGTTTCTCAAGTACGAAAGTTTACGATAAAATGATAATAGAAATGAAATTACGAATGCCTCGCTTTATTTCTTGTCATACATACATAATTACCTTCTTCTGTTTAAGTCCTGACTTTAACCAAAAGTCCAGGACTCTTCAATTCGGATAAAGTTGAACCACCCGTACCATTTTGGGCTTCATTGATCGTGTTGAGCGGCGTTCCATTGTAAGGATTCCTTCGAGGGAAGAGATACCAAAAGATGTACACCCAAGAATGTAAATTAGGTTCTCACGAGGATGAATTTTCACACGCACCGGAGCTGGGTACAATGCAACCAAAGTGTGTTACCCATACCATATTCAGAAGGTGACCCAAAAAGAAAGGTTTGGCGTTTGAGAGGAACGGTGGCAGGCAGGTAGATGCAGCAACTAATCGGAATCGCAAAGCATTTCATTCTGAGAAAGAGCAAGTAACCGTACATTAAAAATAATGAACAAGTCACCGTAGTAAATTATACGTCAAAGGGAAATCCTATCACGTGAAATTTTGCGGGGAAGCATAATCCGAAAGTTGAAAAGGAAGATTGATTAAATTGGGAAACAGGTGGCGGTCACCGCATTAGTAGAAACTTATTCAAATTAAGCCCGACGTCAGCATTCCCGTTCCGGGAACAGTGAAGAAAACGACTGGAGCTTAGTAAGCAGTGATAACTAAACCCCGGTTTATGTAATCATACTTGTTTGAGAAGAGCATTAATGATTAGTAACGAATGAACGGTTCATGGAGATTTTCTTACTAAACAATGAGAGCAATTTTTTTTTCGTATTTTACGATTTTCATTGAAATGTCAAAAAGCTGTCAAAAATGGGTATTGGTGATCGGTATAAATTGGGGAGCCCATTGATTTATTCTCAACGCCCGAAAGTGATGTTATAAAAATTTTCCGGTAAATAGAAGAGAGAGAGAAGAGAGAGAGAGAGAATGGATTTAGAAAATGTAATGAACCCACACGTACGTACGCAAACAACCGACGGAGGTGACAACGATTTACATAATACCTCAATGATGTATTATTATTCTTACAAAAATTTGCGAACGAATAAGGATTCGCATTCGGATCATTTGGAAATGTTTAGGCTTAAGCAACCAAAACCTAGGAAGCTAGGTTCGACTATTTAGGGAAAAGCTGTATGCCCTTTTTGGTTTTTTTTTATTTTTTATTTTGATGTTTTCTCACTTATTTGCGGCACATGATGGGCAACAAATATTATTCTTTACATTTATGGTTTAGACGCAGGGTCACAAGATTTTACAAGATCCAACTTCGATTTATTTTTTTCTAGAGAAAACAACTTGCATTGCGCCAAGAAAAACATCGAACGTATCATTCGAGACTAGGATGAAGAAAGTATTAGACGAAGGATAAATGGTTTAGAGGCAGGACAAAAATTTTCTGGGGGAAAGTGCAGGAATTTGGCAGGGGAGAGGAGTACAAAAAGAAATACTGTAGGTACGAGT